ATGCTCCATTGGTACACCTGAGAGATGCCATAAGAAAAATGAGTTCTGTTTTGCGTCGCTATGTAAAGGCAATCGGGTCATGGATTTCAGGGGGTCGGTCATTCATTTCTTGCCACTACTTCATGTGTACTATTTGGAATTCTGAGACTGAACAGCACCCTAATTATGAAAAGCATACTCATTAACAAGTGAGTCCAAAGAAAAGCTGGCAGAGGGCAAGCCACAAAGAAATCAACATGCTGGCCCAGTGTAGTTGTCAGAAAGCAATGAATGTGGCACAGAATGCGTTCCTTTTTGAACTTCAAGTTTCTGAACTCCTGGAAGTAAACAGAAGGGCAGTATTACATAAGGGCTTAGGGATACAGCATTTGGTTTCTGAATGGATGTGTTTTTTTTTTTTTTTGAGATGTAATTGATATGTAATACTCTATTAGTTTCAGGCATACAACCTAATGATTTGATGTTCGTACCTATCGCAAAATGATCACCACTGGGAAGCTAACTTCCATCAGCTCACATAGTTTAAACATTCTTGTCATATCGTGAGAAATTTTAAGATCTACTTTTTCAGCAGCTTTCAAATCTACAGTATACGATCATTAACTCCAGTCACCATGTTTTACATTACACTCCCAGAACTTAGTTGTTTTATAACTGGAAGTTTGCACTCTCTGACCCCTTTTATCCATCTCACCCACCTCTGAACACCCCAACCTCTGGCAACCACCAATTTATTCTCTGTTGTTTATGAGATCAGGTTTTTTTAGTTTGGTTGGTTGTTTGCTTTTGAGATTCAACATACAAGTGAGATCATATACCATTTTTAAATTTTTTTTAATGTTTATTTTATTCTTTTTGAGAGAGAGAAAGAGAGCGAGCGAGCGGGTGAGGGACAGAGAGCAAGAGGGAGACACAGGATCTGAAACAAGGCTTGAAGCTCTGAGCTGTCAGCACAGAGACCGATGCAGGGCTCGAACTCACAAACCACGAGATCATGACCTGAGTCAAAGCTGGACACCCAACCGACTGAGCCACCCAGGCGCCCCCTGTTCAAATCTTTAATCCATTTTTTAAAATATTTATTTTTGAGAGAGAGAGCAAGCGCAAGCATGCAAGGGAGAGAGGGGCAGAGAGAGAAGGAGACAGAGGATCTGAAGCAGGGCTCGAATTCACATGACCTGAGCTGAAGTCAGACACTTAACCTACTGAGCCACCCAGGCGCCCCTAAATCTTTCATCCATTTTGAGTTAGTTTTTAGGTATTATGCAAGACAGTGGTTCAGTGTCATTATTTTTCACATGGCTGTCCAGTTTTCCTAGCACCGTGTATTGAAATCCTCTGTCCATTGTGTATTCTTGGCTGCTTGTTGTAAATGAATTGGCCATATATGCATGAGTTTATTTCTGGTTTCTCTGTTCTCCTCTATTGATGTATGTGTCTGTTTCATGGCAATACCATAGTGTGTTGATTACCATAGCTTTGTAATATATTTTGAAATCCGAAAGCATGATGCCTCCACCTTCGTTTTTCTTTCTCAAGAGTGATTTGACCTTTCATGGTTCCATAAAAATTGTAAGATTGTTTTATTTCTATAAAAATGCTAACGGGATGTTGATATGGATTACATTGAATTTATAGGTTGCTTTGGGTAGTATGGACATTTTAACGATATTATTCTTCTCATCTGAGCCCAGATTATCTTTCTGTTTATTTTTGTCTTCGCTTTTTTCAACATTGTGCTATAGTTTTCAGTGTATAGGTCTTTTACCCCCTTGGTTAAATTTCTGAGCATTTTATTCTTTTTGATGCAATCGTACATAGGGTTTTCTTAGTTTCTTTTTTTTTAATTTTTTTTTGAACGTTTATTTATTTTTGAGACAGAGAGAGACAGAGCATGAACAGGGGAGGGTCAGAGAGAGGGAGACACAGAATCTGAAACAGGCTCCAGGCTCTGAGCTGTCAGCACAGAGCCCGACGTGGGGCTCGAACTCACGGACCGCGAGATCATGACCTGAGCCGAAGTCGGCCGCTTAACCGACTGAGCCACCCAGGCGCCCCAGTTTCTTTTTTTGATAGTTCAATTATTAGTGTATAGACAGGCAAAAGATTTGTGTTTATTGATTTTGAATCCTACAACCTGAGTGAATTTGTTGATTAGTGCTAATAGTTTTTTGGTGGCGCCTCTATGGTTTGTCATATACAGTATCATGTCACGTGCAAACAGTGACATACTTCTTCCTTTCCGATTTCAATTCCCTTTCTTTCTCTTGTCTAATTGTTCTGGCCAGGACTTCCAATACTATGTGGACTAAAAGTGCCAAGTGTCTCACTCCTGATCTTTATTATGCTCTGTATTTCCCCTACACACACTTTTTTGAGAGTTTTATCATAAATAGATGTCGAATTATGCTAATGCTTTTTCTGTACTTATGGAGATGATCGTATGATTTTTGTCGTTAAATTTGTTAATGCTGTGAATCACACTGATTGGTTTGTGAGTGTTGAAACATTCTTGCATCCCTGGAATAAATTTCACTTGTTCATGCTGTATGACCCTTTGACTGTAATATTGAATTCAGTTTGCTAATATTTTGTTGAGGACTTTTTCATCTGTGTTCATCAGGGATTTACTTGTGGCATCCTTGTTTGGTTTTGGGATCAGGGTAATGCTAGCTTCATGTAATGAGTTTGGAAATGTTCCTTTTCTTTTGGAGTTTAAGAAAGACTCGGATTCTTTAAATATTTGGTAGAATTGACCAGCGAAGATGTAGTTGTGGCCATTTCTTTGCTGGGAGGCTTTTTATTACTGATTCAAGCTCGTTGCTAGTAATTGGTCTGTTTAGATTTTCTATTTCTTCATGATTCACTCTCGATGGGTTGTATACGTCTAGAAATGTATCCATTTCTTCTAGGTTGTTCGCTTTGTTGGTGTGTGATTGTGGATAACAGTCTTTTATGATCCTTCATATTTTTGCAGTTTTTATTTTTCTTTTAGTTATAACCTCTCCTGGTTCATTTCTGCTTTTGATTCTCTTCTTCTTGGCGAGCTTAAGTATAGATCTGTCGATTTTGTTTACAATCTCTGTTACCTGCAAACGGAAGCACTGCTAGCCACCAGTGCCAGCGACCTAGAGGTGTCCCCTGGGAGGCAGCCACAAAAATTTGGGCGCCAGATGAGAGTACAAGTTCCTTCTGAGAGACATGAGTGAGTTGGAGCAAGGCTGAGGGACAAAGATGGCACCCATCAGCGTCTGTCTTTGGAGAGTATTTCAGTAGGCCCTTGGCTGTATGTTAAATTGGATGTCTGCATCTTGCTTTGACTTTAAGGTAAACGAATAAGCCTCTTTAAGAGGAAGTCAGTGCTTTTCAATTTGCTGCTTCCGCACTGAGACTTGGAGTGGGTGGGTCCACATACGCAAGCTCTTTGTGAGCTAGTCAGTTGACTATCGCCTTGTGGGTCTCAAGCCCTGTATACACTATATGTTTTGGGGGCTCTTCTCCGGTGCAGGTCTTAAAAATTGGGGTACCCGATAGGAGATTCAAACCTTTTGCTTCTTGGGGAGAAACCTGGGGCTTCGAGTCCCGATTGTGGGTCACAGTGCCAGGGGTGGGGCTTATTCCAAGACTGTGTCTCAACCACTCTTACCTGCTTTCACGTGACTGTTTTGTTTGCCTCCCGTGTAGCAGCCACTCAGCTAGTTTTAGTTTTTGTTTTCTTTTTCAGAGGAAATTGTTCCCTATGTAGCTGTAGATTCAGTGAGTCCATAGGAAGAGGTGGGTCCAGGACCTTCCTACATTGTCTTCTTATCCTGGAACGCCCCAGATGGGTTTTAATAGCAGTCCATACGCTTGCTGCCTCTGGGAAAATTATCATTCTCTATGCCTGTTGCCTCATCTATATTTTGGGAATTTAAGTATCTACCTCCCAAATGTTGCAAACCCCGAATGAATTAAAACTTAATAGATGACTGGCAGATCCCTGAAGTTTACCACTGTCAGGGCTGTGGTGGGACCCTTACGCGAACCATGACCAGATTCTCTGTATTAGGCTAAGTTGGGGAGGGACCTTCAGGAAGGTCCTGCTTCCTACCTGCATACTTGCACGTTTTTTAATTGTTTTGTCTTAATCATTTCTGCTTGTGGTTGATGCTTTTTTTTTTTTAGGCGACTCTTAAGCTTAATGACCTGTAAGCAGTTCTTTTTTTCTTTAGCATTATAAAACTTGACGATTTAGTATTTTTTTAGTAAAAAAGTAAGAAATCAACAGTAAGGACTAAACCAAAACAAAATGTTCTTTGAGAGCCTTGATGCAAAGGAGGTAAAACACTTGCCTTAGGTCTCCAGGCACCCTTGACCGTGAAATGCTTTACTATCCAACTGTCTACTAGAACATTCTGTGGGGGCGGAAGTTCTCTATTTGTGGTCACCTATAGTGGTCTCTAGTAGTGACCACTAGCCACATGTGCCTCTTGGGCACTGGAAATGCGGTATGACTGAGGAACTAAACTTTTCAATTTTAGCTAATTTAAATAGCCAATGGGTCTACGGGCTGTCACTGAACAGCTCAGGGTCTCTAGCATAATAGGAATAGTGATGTATTCTTAAGATTAGAGGACTAATTCAGTCAGGTGGAACAAAGCCGTGGTTTTGCCTTCTTATTGATAAACAAGCCAGATAAAACAATTTTAATTTCAAATAAGACATCCATACTTAGAAAAAGGCCTCTCTAAAATGTGTTCATTTCTCAGTCTTCTTATAAATGCTGATTAAATTAAGACGTCTTCCATAGTTGCTGCTCAGTAAAATGTGCTATGTGAATTGGCTAAATCTGCAACTGATGGAAAATGTGTATTTCTAGCTGTACGCTCGATGCGATGTTCATATGAATATGCTTTTCACAGCTCTTCTACTGTTGCTTTCTCTTAGAGGAGAAGGAATGGAATTATAAAGCTAAAGCGTGAATGTGTGATCATGCTCTGGTTTCATTATTGTTTCTCAAGGGAAGTTGAAAGAATGGTCTTTGGTCCTCTATGGCACCTCCGTGCAGCCCTACTCCCCAACGAACGAGTTTCCTAAGGTAGAACGTGTCCGTTATACCCGAGTCGAAGACCCCACCGAGGACTATGGTACGGAGGATTATGCAGGTGAGTTGGCTTCCAACAGAGACATGGGCTAAGGGAAGAAATCTCATGCATCATCCCACCATGCAGAAATAAGCTTCAACCCATATTCTGGTATTTTCTTCCATCTTCTTTTCTATCCCCCAAATATGTGTGTATATTCAGATAGCTGGGGTTTTTTTTTTTCCTTCAAAGCTAAAAGCACACTGTCTATAGTTTTCATATCTGTTTTCTTCCTCTTGTGGTTATTAAGAGCATATTTCCCTGTTGTCACATATCCTCACAAGAAGTATTTAAAAGACAGCATAATAGCCCAGCCTCTGATTGCGCTATATTTAATACGTAATCTGGGAGGTGCTGTTTGCTTAGAGTTTTGCACTGTTTGAAATAAGGCTTGGTTTTATCAGTCTTTGTTTAGAATAGAGTTCCGAGCATTACTGCATCAAAGGGAATAATCAGTTTGAGGACTTGGACACATTTTGTCACATTCCTTTCCAGACAAGATGTACCAGTCTACGCTGTGACCAGCTGTGCGTTTATTACACTCATTCCTGCCAACAGTGAGCGGAAAGAAAAAAAGTAAAGGAACAGGACATTTTTAAATTTCTATACCTTTGATTGTTAGTAAATCTAAACATTTTTTCCTCTGTAGTTCTAGGAATTCAATACAACTGTGTTTTGCCCATTTTTCTATTCAAAGGGGCAGCAATTTTGTGATCCATTTATAAGAACTCTGTGTATGTTATTGTCCCTCACATAGTCTCATACAGTCGTTACCCCTTATCAGTGGTTTCATCCATGGTCAGGAAGCAGACGATCCCTTCATCTGATCTATCATCGGGGCTATAGGAGCTTAACGCTACATTACCATGCCCACACCACCTCACTTCATCTCATCCTGTAGGTGTTTTATCATCTCCCTTTGTCACAAGAAGGAGGGTAAGTACCACACAAGATATTTTGAGACACTACATTCACATACTTTTATCACAGTATATTGATAGAATTGTTCTGTATTGTTAGTTTCTTACTGTGCCGTATTTGTAAATGAAATGTCATCACAGATATGTATGTGTAGGAGAAAAACAGTATAGGGAGGGTTTGGTACTCTCCATGGCTTCCGGCATCCACTGGGGTCTTGGAATGGTATTCTCCACAGATAAACTGGGGGAGGAACTACTCTATTTGCTGAAAACATCTTCCCAGTTAGTGCTTGCTTCCAAAATGTTGCTCTTGTGTTGTGTTGTTTCGACAGAAGAAAATTGGAGGGTAGGGTTTATAGCTTCAGACCTCACTTGTGCTTTTTCTAAAAAGAAGCTTTAGTCTTTATTGGAGCATCTGGGTGGCTCAGTCGGTTGAGCGTCTGACTTCAGCTCAGGTCATGATCGTGCGTTCTGTGAGTTCAACCCTCACATCGGGCTCTGTGCTGACAGCTCAGAGCCTGGAGCCCCCTTCAGATTCTGTGACTCCTCTCTCTGCTCCCACCCCTCCACTCTCTGTCTCTCTCTCAAACATTTCATTAACATTTTTTTTAATGAAATCCACAAAATATTCACACGCATTTTTTTTCTAATCTCTTATTTTAACACTTGGCCATGCATTCATCTGAAATTCATTCTGGCTTAAGATCTATAGTATGAGGGGCGCCTGGGTGGCGCAGTCGGTTAAGCGTCCGACTTCAGCCAGGTCACGATCTCGCAGTCCGTGAGTTCGAGCCCCGCGTCAGGCTCTGGGCTGATGGCTCGGAGCCTGGAGCCTGTTTCCGATTCTGTGTCTCCCTCTCTCTCTGCCCCGCCCCCGTTCATGCTCTGTCTCTCTCTGTCCCAAAAATAAATAAACGTTGAAAAAAAATTAAAAAAAAAAAAAAAGATCTATAGTATGAAATAAAAGTGTCTTTATTTGCCATATAGACAAACATTATTGACTGGGTTATCATCCCTTCTTTTACTCATTTAGGATCCCTTCCTTCATAACTATAGAAGAAATTCTTACACTGGGGTCTCTTCTGGTGTCCCTTTTTCTGATTTTTCAGTCTAGTAATTCTTAATCCAGTTGTATCCACACTAGGATTTATCATCTGTCGAACATCTCCTTGTTTTCATGGCAATTCTTAAATCCACCTATAAAGATCCCATTGGAATTTAATTTGAATTTATATGCGATCTCATAATTGGTTGCTTTTTTGGGGGGGCTGGGGGAAGGCGAAATGTTTTTACAATATACAGTCTTTCCATCCAAACCACACCCCATGTCCCAGTTTACTAAAATATTTAATTTTATGTATTACTATTCTTCTTAGTGTTATCCTATGTATTTTGCGGACTTGTTGCTATTATGATGGAAAAGATGCCTTTTTCCTAACTAGGATATGCTAGCATCTAGGAAACCTAGTGGCTATTGCATAGTTATATCTGACCATCCTGCTCAACTCTCTTATTAATTTACATATTTTAGAGTTCATTTCTCTGGGGCAGTTTAGGTATTGTGGCCATATCTGCAATTTGTTTTTCCTCCTTCAAGGTAGATCTCTGATTTCTGTCTTGTTGCATTGACGACCATTTATAGGAGCACTCAGTTCTCCTGGGACCGGCTATGATACTTAATGAACAAAGCTTCGCCTAAGAGAGAACTGTTTGTAAATAGCAATTTAATGTGCCTTTAGACGAGAATTGTTTTCTTTCTCTTGAGTTCTTCGAGATTCTTTTTCGAGATACTAAAGATAAAAGTACGTCATGAATTACCTTAACAGAATATCTTCAGTATGCCTGTGGTTCCTTTTATTCTAAAGAGGCAGTACCCCGGAGTCCATCATAAGTTTGAATAACTCAGACCAGTTGAGCTGACCAGAGCTCGATTGTGTTAGGTTTCGTCCTATTTTGTTTTGAGCTTGTAACATCATTACTCACATTCTAACTAGCAAACCATTTCATCTTCTCTGATAGGAGAAAGGATACCCAGAAATGTAAACTGAGCATAATAATAACCCGTTGCTATATGCCTTATGCTCGGCTTCCAATTCAAATGTTGGTAATGTTAAAATTGTGAACAGTTACGTATCTTCATGGTTTTCCTCCTTACACCTCTAAAACGTCCACATTGGCACTTGGGAGAGAACAAAGACAATTATTTCTTTATTACCCTGCAAACTAAAATGCTAAACTGCATCTGGGACAGTTTAAGATTATAAGAGAAACAGCACAGCATGTGAACTTGCCATACAGAGCCCTTTGGCACGTATCAAGAGTAAGTTTGGGGGTGTTTTTTTAATTGCAGAAATCATCTGGTGAAAATTTAGGGCCACCCAGGGTTCCTTTCCTTCAGAGCTGTGATTTTCACCTTCATGGAGAAGTCAGCCTGCCTGGAGGCACAGATGGCATTATCATAACCAGATCCCTGTAACGTTTCATCAAATTCCAGGGACCGTAGGACCCACAGCTGGCTGAACCTCAAGCCTTATACGACACAACAGAGACACCATCTCCTCATGTATCATAGCAGATAGCTGAAATGTCCCAAGTTGTACTAGCTGTGGAATTTAATTTAGAGGTCAGTTTTAAGGCTTGGGGGAAACAGAGATAAACAGCACTGTTAAATGACTCTTGTGATTAATCAGAAGTATATTTCAAAAGTCATCTCTAGGACCTCATTTTCTACCCTTCCATAGAAGACCTGGACAAGCCACCCTAGCTCTTGGAAAGGGTGTTTTCTCGCCAGAAAAATGAGAGATTTTTCTCTGTGTCATGCCTCCCGGTTGCTACCAGTTTATGTTTCAACTCAGTAACTGTAGAACACGGTCCCATCATGACTAAGGGAGATCAAGGTTCACCAGTAAATCCTTTTGATTAAAATAAATATGGTTCAGACATTTCTGCCATATCCACTTACTCTTTGTACACTGCACGCAGTATGTTTGTTGCTAGTTAGAATCATGTGACTTTTCAGCAGGAAAGAGCTTGAAGATTAGGGGACCAAATGTCCTAAAATACGGAGAACAAGGAAAATGGGAGTTAGTTCAAGCAAGCAACGGGCCGATATGTAGCCCGTGTCATTAGAAAGCTTTTCATTAATTATAAAAATCTCCATCTTTCTGGGGTTTTTCTCCTGCCTGGGCATTCTCACTCTATACCAAAGAACACGTCGCGAGAGATCAGCAACCGTGATTCTGAGTCTGGAATTCTTTAAGCTCGCTTGCGTTGTTTAAAATTGATGTGTAGTTTTCTTTTGTTGAGCTGCCCACTGGCCTATGGGTAGGACGCAGTTTTAAATCTGTGCCTCAAGTACCTGCTTTATAATCCAAGACCAGATACCGATAAGCTTGCACCAGATGCCATGATGACGTTTCTTGCTGGCTACGGTATCTCAGAGGTATTCAGTGGTCTTGATGACCTTGGGCAAGCCGGACGATCTCGTCCAGGCATTGAATAGAATAAACTTGCTTTCTTGGCTGTCAACAGCGGAGCTTCTCATTTTTCTATAAATCCGACGTTTTTATCATTATGCATATTTCATTGCAAACAGTTCTTTTCCACTTGCTCCAGTGGCATGGCTCATTGGAATTCTGAGATTTTTGTTATCTCCCACAAGGCAGCCATATGTGTTTTAAAGACCAGGCCGTGACTGGATTTACATTCTCGACACTTAGGTCATTGAGGTCCCGCCCTCCCCCTGCCAAAAGCCAAGAGTTCATCTCTGGGCCGACAGCCGTAATCCACGTTATTCCTCCGTCGTAAAGAAACTCTCACGGGAGGAGGAAGACACCCAAGTCTCATTTTATACCGCATGCAAACAGACCTGCTTTCAAACCACTGTTTCCAAGTGTTGTTTTCGATTTTTGTGCAAAGGTCCCTGCGACCCTGAGTGCAGCGAGGTTGGCTGTGACGGCCCCGGCCCGGACCACTGCAGTGACTGCTTGCATTACTACTACAAGCTGAAAAACAACACCAGGTAGGAACAGAGGCCGCGGAGGTCCCCCCCACAGCATGCCCTGGGCGTTCCCATGGGGGCAGCGCCTGAACAGGACCTGTGATGTTCGGCCACCGGGGCCTGAACACCGGCCCCCACCTCCTGGTGTAAATTCAAGATGCGGAAACGGATACTGCACCACAGAACATAAAGTGCACCTGTATGCTGTCCAGCTGCAGGTGCCTTTTCTCATATTTGGAAAGGGGGGCGGGGGGGCGGGGGGGGGGGAAGGACTAGCTCTACACTGGACTGGCCTTCCCCTTTAGACCTTTCCATTCCCTGGATGTCTGACGCCACAGCTAAATGCGAAAATGCTGGCATACAACCAAACAGGTGCTTTCCCGGGGTCCCCACTGTGCAAGCCCTTGGCTTCTGCCTCAGGCTGTGCAGATGACGGTGCCGGCCCAGCAGAAGCCACGCCCTCCAGGCACCTCTCAGCCCCGCCCCCTTCTCCCTCCTCCTTCAGGGAAAACCGGGACTTGCATTTCAGCTATGCTGACACACCGGGACGCGGGACGCGTTCCAGTTCCTGTTTACATGCTTGCTGGAATTTAAATTCCTTAAAGGAAAGGCCCTTGGCCACCTCAGCACCTCTCATTATCGCCTAGACCAGCAAAATGCCTGACATTGGATTTGGAACTCCGTAAATATTTGTTGAAGGAGTAAAGCGCTGTCCTTCGACGCTGGGCAAACGAAGAAGTTATTTTTTAAAGTTTATCATAACCAAGTTTAAATATATTTACTTTTTTTTTTAAGTTGAAATTCATAATTTTCATTTGTGTTCATTTAAGATAAAAAGTGCAGATGGGCAGAAAAGAAGAAAACCCCTGTTAACATTTTCTCAACTATTCTTCCTGAGTTGGCTCGGTTGGTTATGCGTTATTTACGTTAGTTTAGACGATAGCATACAACCGCTCCCTCTAGCACACGGGATCCATATGACACACAAAAAACCGCACAAAACCACAAGTAACCCCTTATTAGCAGCCTCTTTGTAAAAAATCAGGGTTGCCACCTAGCTTCCCTTCAACCCAAGGCTACTACCTTCCTCTGGAGACTCCATTTCTAACCATCATCCCTTTGAAAGAGCTAGACCCGAACTGGAAGACATACCCTACTTGACGGACTTGGTATTATGTGATTGCCTTGCTACTTCGGCACCCTACACGGGAAAAAGCTTCAACCCACAGAATTTGGCTCTTTGGGTATGGTGTTACCCTAATGGTTTCAAAAGGATTTAAAGACTGAGGACGGCTGTTGGCCGAGCACTTCTAAGAGTGCTAGGACTGAGTCTCTGATGATGGTCTCCTTCTTTTTATCATTCCACGATGCAGGATCTGTGTCTCCAGCTGCCCCCCTGGCCACTACCATGCTGACAAGAAGCGATGCAGGAAGTGTGCCCCCAACTGTGAGTCCTGCTTTGGGAGCCATGGTGACCAGTGTCTGTCCTGTAAATATGGATACTTCCTCAACGAAGAAATCAACAGCTGTGTTACCCACTGCCCCGATGGCTCATACCAGGACACCAGTGAGTAGATTGCAAATATTTGGGTTTCAGGGAGGAAATACAAGATTTTCACTTGAGTGACATTAGGCGCGAAATCAAGGTTATATCAAACAGGATCTAACCAATTTTTTACGAGAACGTGTTAGAAGTGTAAAAGATGAATTTGTAACCATTTTTGTGCAAGCTGATTTATGTAAAAATGCTTGTAAGTGTCAGGGAGTCCTCAAGCCCTTCCCCAGATTCAGTGATTGGCCAGGAGGACCCATAAGACTTAGCGTATTTGTACTCATGAGCTCATCATTACAACTTATTACAGCAAAAAGGCACGAAGTCATGTCAGGAAGAGGTGCGGAGGACACAGTCAGCAGAAAATGGCAAACGTGTCCAAGAGTTTTCTCCCAGGGAAGTCACCCAGGAGGCATTCAAATCCCCCGGCAACAATTTATTACAACCTGTGTGCAATGTAGGCTACCTGGGAACCTCCTTAGAGTCTCAGTGCCCAGGCTTGTGGTCATGAAGACACCCTCTCCCTGACACATAACAAAACGCCAGACTCCTAGAAGGGAAGCAGATGTTCAGCATAAACCATATTGTTTGTACAGGTTAAGCACCATGCGCCACTCTTCTCAGGGAGGGTGCTAGAAACCCTCCTGAGATCCAAGGTCCCAGTTGGCCACGGGCCAACTTCAGCAGGCTTTCCAAGGATAGCAGCCACGCCTGCTCTTTTCTCCACACTAACCAAAGGAACCAGGGCCCTGCAATACCAATGTGTGCTTTTCAGAAAGCTTAGAAAACATGACTTCCACGTGAATGTGGAATAGACACATGTCAAAGACAGCCAACGAGGAAACCTACAGTGACGAATGTGGTCGAAGACTATCAGGTATTGTCTCCAGTCCAACACAATCAGGTATTGTCCCTAGTCCACTAGTAAAGGCAAAATGAAATCTGTTTGCTGAGTTATAGGCAAAACTGATGGAGTCCCAAAGAGATCTGAGAAGAGAGAGTAGGAGGGTCCCGAACTCACCGTGTCTCTCAGCTACCCTGAAGTATAAGCTACGTTTGTACGACCGGCTCTGAAAATGACCGGAAGCCTGGCAGAACAGACCTTCCACAGTTAATTGTGGACAGAAGGCCACCTCGAAAGGGGAGGAAGAATGGAGACGTGGGCAAAAACCAAACCCCTGGTGCCACTAACCCTACAAACAGGAGCGACGTCACAAGCATGGAGGAGCAAGAGGACCTGACCCCACACTAGGCACCCCCAGCATTGGGAAGATGAGTCCCCGTGGCCTCTGGCTCTGAAAACCAGCACATCTTAACTTCCATGGGACTTGGTTCCAGGAGGGTCTGAGGGCAACAGGAAACTGAGTCCCCATCCTTAAAGCTCCAGCATACTAAATGACTCAGCCAAGACAGCACAGAAGCAGCAGTTTGGAAAGTGCCTGGGGTATACATGACGGAGATGTATTGACTAATCTATCCTGAAGGAGCAGGACGTAGAGAATATTGCTCTAGAAACGAAAGTGCTGGTGGGTGCCATTTCTCTCCCCCTCCCCCCCAGCCCTAGATAACTGGATGTTTGTGAGAGGTAGCATTAACTCTCTCCATCTACTTTGCTATAGCACTGGCTGCCCTTCCCCATCCAACCCAACTCAGCCGTCCTCCCTTCAGAGTGGCTCCTGCCTCACCAGACCCGCTTGGAGGGTGCCCCTCCAAAATGACTCATGCCCTGGAGAGGGAGGAGATCAACCCACGTAATGGCACACTTTCATTTCCTGTCGTGGAGCCCCAGAGCTTTCCGTGTACCTGTACCTGTGGCCGAGGGAATAATTTCAGACAGGTAGGCTCACTGCTGGCCCAACTCACCAAGCCTGCGGCTGCTACAGGTAGGCCTCTGGAGAGCACGTGGGGCAAATGCTACCCCGGGCACTCAGAGCAGGCAAAGCGGATCACTGCAGCTGGCTAGGCTGAAGGCAGTTGCGACTCAGCCACAACAGGGGTGCATACAGCCCACACCAAGGACACCCTTGTTCTGGTGACCAGGAGGAAGTACACTGTAGGGTACCACAGGACCACTTCTACACAGGCCACTACGTTCAGGACCAGGAGACATAGCTGACTGTCCTCCTACATTAAAAACACACACCCAGAGTTAGAAAAAAATGAGACAGAGGAATATGTCCCACGTGGAAAAAAAAAAAAAAAAAGATAAATCACAGTAAAAGAGCTAAATGAAATGGAAGTAAGCAATATGCCTGATAAAGAATTCAAAGTAATGATCACTGAGATACTTGAGAAAAGAGCAGAGGATCTTAGAGCTAAAGAATAACTGAAATAAAAACACACTAAATGGAATCAACAACAGATTAGAAGATGCAGAAGAACAGATCAGTGACATGGAAGACAGGGTAATAGAAAACAATCAAGCTGTCTTCAGCAAGTGGTGCTGGGAAAACTGGACAGCGGCATGCAGAAGAACAAACGTGGACCACTTTCTTACACCAGACCCAAAAATAAACTCAAAATGGATGAAAGACCTAAGTGTAAGACAGGAAGCCATCAACATCCTCGAGAAGAAAGCAGGCAAAAACCTCCTTGACCTTGGCCTCAGCAACTTCTTACTCAACACATCTCTGGAGGCAAGGGAAACAAAAGCAAAAATGAACTATTGGGCCCTCACTAAAATAAAAACCTTCTGCACAGCGAAGGAAACAATCAGCAAAACTAAAAGGCAACCGACAGACTAGGAGAAGATATCTGCAAACGACATATCAGATAAAGGGTTAGTATCCAAAATTTATAAAGAACTTCTCCAACTCAACACCAAAGAACAAAAAATTCAGTGAAGAAATGGGCAAAAGACATGAATAGACACTTCTCCAAAGAAGACATCCAGATGGCCAACCGACACATGAAAAAATGCTCAACATCACTCATCATCAGGGAAATACATCAAAACCACAATGAGATACCACCTCACACCTGTCAGAATGGCTAACATCAACAACTCAGGTGACAACAGATGTTGGCGAGGATGTGGAGAATGCAAGCTGGGGCAGCCACTCTGGAAAACAGTATGGAGGTTCCTCACAAAGTTAAAAATAGGACTAGCCTACAACTCAGCAATTGCACTACTAGGTGTTTATCCAAGGGATACAGGTGTGCTGTTTCGAAGGGGCATATGCACCCCAGTGTTTATAGCAGCCCTATCAACAATAGCCAACGTATGGAAAGAGCCCAAATGTCCATCGATGGATGAATGGATAAAGAAGATGTGGTATCTATATACAATGGAGTCTTACTCGGCAATCAAAAAGAATGAAATCTTGCCATTTGCAACTACATGGATGGAACTAGAGGGTACTATGCTAAGCGAAATTAGAGAAGGGCAAATATCATATGACTTCACTCATATGAGGACTTTAAGACACAGCACAGATGAACATAAGGGAAGCAAAAATAATATCAAAACAGAGGGGCACAAAACATAAGAGACTCTTAAATCTGGAGAACAGAGGATTACTAGAGGGCCTGTGGGAGGGGGGATGGGCTAAACGGGTAAGGGGCATTAAGGAATCTACTCCTGAAATCATTATTGCACTATATGCTAACTAATTTGGATAGAAATTTAAAAATAAATTAATACAAATATATATATATATATTTTTTTTTAAATAATTTCCAACCTAGCAATACAACTAGAATTGGGGGGAGGGAGAGGTAATTTTTGCAACTTTACCAAACAAAAGTCTGTAAATTAACATGTAACTTCACAGCATTTGGGCCCTAAGCCATCATCATTAGGAAACAAAGATCTATTACCTGGAGAATTAAGTGATCCTTGGGCACACCTACCTTTTAATGTTCTGGTATGGCCCGGAGTTCTTAGTAATTTGTCCTAATAATTGTGTCACACCAGGATCCCTGACAACACTGACATTTTCTGTTTCCACACAACCTAAGAACGAAGAACACCCAAGTGTAAATGAGCAAGAGTTGTCTTTACAAAATCAGGCAAGAATTTGGAGGCGGATACTGTTGCTTCTTAAGAAGTCAGGGTCCCTTGATTCAAAGGCAGGCGTTTTTCCGTAAGGCAGATGGGGTCTCTAACTTACCCTACAGAACAGTGGGTAGGGATTTCCTTGTAGTTTTTATCCCCCCCAGATTTGGAACATGAGCTTGTAACCTGACAGAGAAGGGAAAAATAAGAGAATAAGAGTGAGGAGGGGGGCTGAGGGATCCACAGACATAAACAGTATTTCTTGAAGAAAAAATTCAAAATTCTATCAAGACGACAGAGTCTTAGGAAAGAAATTTGGTTCCAGGTGATCTATTATAGGATCAAGATAATTGAGTGTCCACTGCTTTCCCAGAGCCTGGGAGGTATATAATTAAGGAAGGCCGTTCAAACAATTTGCTGATATGAGTGGTCTCTGTATCTCCCTCCTTTTTGTAATTGGCTTCTGCTATATTTTCCTCCTGTAATGAGTCTGTTTACATAAAACAGTGATCAGGTATGATCATGACTAGTAATAACTATTGCCAACACATTTACAGCGCTTTCAAGTTCATATAGTTCCCTTGAGGAATTTCATTAAACCCCTCAAGACAAGCTGAGAGGTCAGCATTGTTGTAATGTTTCTTCAACAAATGGAAGAAGAGAGATCCTGAGCTTGCCCGCTGGAAATGCTAAAACCAGAATTCACATCTAGGTTGACATCGTGATGGAGAGACTCTATGAAGACTACCAGAAGATTGTATTTCATGGCAGGGGGTTCAGGGTTGAGAAAGAGGGGTTGGACCTCCAGGAGGTCCTTCTGGGAATCCATTGAAGCGGTGTTTCTCTGTGGAACCTGGAACAAACACCAACATCTAAAGAGGAGACGGAGGAAAAGAATCTTACGAACAAAGCTTCCTTCAATCCTACATCTATCTGTGGTTAATCCACTTGCATCTCAGAGAAAGTATCAAGTCTCCAGAAAACTTTTGCTTCAAGTTAACGGCCTTAACGTAGTGGAACAAATCACCATTTCACTAGAGAATAAACATGCATTCGCCATTTTTTCCAATGGGAATCTGTCTTTGGTATTAAATAGGAAAGCCAAATATATTTCTATTCTCCAGAATATAGATACATCTGAACTATAATAGCATATCATATATTTTGATATTTTCACAGCCACCATAAAGTACAAGACACTCCTCTAGACAGCACAAGAAATAAATCATCAACCCTACAATTTTAAATGTAGATTCCCTTTTCTTACATTTTTATCAGAGTAGTCCTAAAAGTTGGGAGCATGGCAGGGGTGGGTTGAGGGGGTGGTCTACCTTTCCACTCCACGGCCACAAACACTGCTTCTCCACCCTTCTATACTGGTGTTGCCCAATGTCTTTGTCAGTATGATCTTCATTGCCCGAAGTCAGGAAACCCTGCTTGGGAAAGAGAGAAAGAGGAAGGGGGAAATGCCAATATACTATTCAACGAAGAATGAAAAGGGCTGTAGCTCTCTTGTCTGCAAAATGGTAGAGATGTGTAGTACTTTGCGGCACTGCGGTTCCTACCTCTGTTTACTTGGCTGAGAAGTGATAGCAAATGCTGAGGGTAGGGCTTTTCCTGAAATTTTCTGCTCAAGGCCACGTATGTATATTATTGTGCACATTAGCAAACTTTAGAACATCTCTGCCTTTTCTGGAATCCATGTGACCAACTGGTTTATAACCTTGTTACTTTTGTGTGTCTGTGTGTGTCTTTTTGTTCACAGAGAAAAGTCTTTGCCGGAAATGCAGTGAGAATTGCAAGACATGTACAGAATTTCACAATTGCACAGAATGCAGGGATGGGTTAAGGTGAGAGAGCGAAGGATCTCGGCAAGTCCCACAGCCCAAGGAGCTTCTCAGTATAAATAAAATATGCAAATAAATAATCCTCTTGCCATCACCCTCTTGACTCCCATTCAAACACTTGATTGCTATTTGCATTATCTTTACCATTATATGTGAAAAATTGGATGCCATCTTGGCTGAGGAAGGTTTAGACACCAAATAAAATCCTCTTCAGAAAAGATGGCTCAGATACAACTAAATAAAAATGGCTATTTGAGAGGCTCTCTTCGTGCTTCTTGACCGGCAGCGTGCCCGTCAAGGATTACTGTGTGGGTAATACCAATGAATTATATTTAATCCTCCTGATTCATTCCTTTGATGGTCGGAAACTATTCCCTTATCTTTATTATTTCTCTCCGTATAGCCAATCATTCTCTTATCTTAAGTACCTCAGGCTTGGTTCCATTATGCTCTGGTATGCACATAGATTTAACACCTGGAGAGGTTTTTCTTGACTGGATGACTTCGCTCATTGCCAAAGCCAGATAGCGATAGGTTCTGCAAGAGAACAAGCACACAGCAAAAATGAACTAGGTGGCCTCTTGATGTCCACAGAGAAGGTCAGACCATCCTCTGCTGGGTGAGGAGTTGGACTCTGAGCGTATAGGGCGCTAGAAACCTGCCACACCGGATCTCTCTTAAGTGTTGAGAATTCCTGTCTCCACCTTTGATTGGCGAGGTGAACTGGGCAGGCCCCAGGCAGGTGATTCTTTACAATAATTAATATCAGAACATCGTTTTTGTTTAGATTGTCTGTGGCCCCCTTTTTTTTTTTTTCATACACGCATTCGGTACTGATTTGATTTCCTTTCACCTCCAGCCTTTCAGTCTTGGGGCGCCTGGGTGGCTCAGTCGGCTAAGTGGCCAACTTCAGCTCAGGTCATGATCTCACAGCTTGTGGGTTCGAGCCCCGCGTCAGGCTTTGTGCTGACAGCTGGTAGCTCAGAGCCTGGAGCCTGCTTCAGATTCTGTGTCTCCCTCTCTCCCTGCTCCTCTCCCCTCCTACCTCCCCTGTTCATGCGCGCGCGCTCTCTCTCTCTGTCTCTCTCTCTCTCTCTCAAAAGTAAATAAACATTTTAAAAAATTAGTTTTTAAATTTTTTTTAAAAAGACTTTCGGTCTTAATAAATATCAGTCTAGACAGCCCCCAAATTTTTGGAGAAAGAGCAGATCAGTATAATAAAAAGGAGAGAAGATGACGGACGTGGGCCAAAGCCTTCCTATTAATCAGCTATGGGATCGTGGTCAAGTCACTAAGGCATTCTGAACTTCAGTTTTGTCCTCTAGAAAATGAGAAACCGACCCCTACATCGCTGGATTATGACAGGATTAATTGCGATAACATTTACAAAGTACCTATTTCAATATGGGACACATACTCGGTCCATGAAAAATAAAAGGTTGCTTAAGATAAGTTTCTAGAGAGGTGCCTGAGTGACTCCATGGCTCAAGTGTCCAACTTAGGCTCGGGTCATGCGCTCAAGGCTGGTGAGTTCCAGCCCCGTGTCAGGCTCTGTGCTGACAGCTCAGTCTGGAGCCTGCCCTGCTTGGGATTCTATTTCTCTGCGTGGCTCTCTGCCCCTTCCCCGCTTGTGCTCTGTTTCTGTCTCCCTAAATAAATAAATAAAATAAAATAATTTCTATACAACTGACCGTTGCACAACTCAGGGGTAGGGACACCAACCCCCATCCCATGCAGTTGAAAATCACACATAATTTTAACTCCTTTCTTTTTCTTGTAAAATTTATTCTGAGAGAGAGAGCAAGAGGGGAGGGGCAGAGAGAGAGAGGTTGAGAGCGAGAGAATCCCAAGCAGGGCAGCTCCGTCCGCGTGGAGCCCGACACAGGGCTCGATCTCATGAACCGTGAGATCATGACCTGAGCCAAAATCAAGAGTCGGACACTTAACCGACTGAGCCACCCGGGTGTCCCAACTCTTTAACGTACTCTTAACTACATAACTACTAGCAGCCTATTGTTGGCCATAAGTCTCACAAATAACAGTCAATCAACACATATTTTGTGTTACATATATTATATACTGTAGTCTTACAAAAAGTAAGCCTACAGAAAAGAAAATGTTAAGAAAAGTCTAAGGTAAATACACTTAGAGTACTGTCATTTATCCAAAAACTCCACTTATAAGTGGACTCATGCAATTCAAACCTGTGTTTTCGAGGGTCAGCTGTGTTTCTCTGGGAACATTTTAGAGAGTTCGTAACCGGCACTCTCCAACAGAAATATGAGAGCCGTATATGTTAATTTTATATATGGCAGGAGCCACATTAAAAGAAGCAAAAAGATACGGGCGAAAGCTAAAAAAATATTAACTGAATATATCCAAAATATTATCATTTCCACATGTAATCAGTATAAGAGACTCAGAGAGATACGTCACATTCTTTTTTGTCGCTATACCCAATCTTACCTGGTGGGCATTTTACCCCTAAAGCAGGTCCCACGTCTCAACATGGACAGTAATTTTTTTTTTTTATATATGAGCAGTATGTGATCTGCGTTTAGATTTGACAGAATTGAGTCGAAGTAGATTTTCTAGAGCCACGTCGTTCCAAACTTAGAATTTTGCCGATAGCTGAACCAAGTGCCAGCGTGTAAAATGTAGACTGAAATTAATCACGACTGAAATTAAATTAATTAAAACCACGTAACACTTAGGATCCCAGTCGTTGGCCACACTGGCCACATATCAAGTGCTCAGGAGCCACAGGTGCCAGAAAAGCATGCGGGACAGCACAGTCCTGAGCTGGCCGCTTTAGCACAGGAAGAACCCAGGCGTTCACAGCCCCAGCTGGTCAGCCAAGCCACCGCTGTATGCTGAAAGCTGCAGAAAGCTTCAGGATGCTCAATGCCTGCTCTCTGTTGCACGACCCACTTAAGCTCATTTCTTCCTCACACAGGGAAGCCTCTGTCTCGTGCTGAATAAATGCCAACCTCAGAAGGAATGTCCTTTATTAGAAAGGCTGGACGGCTCTTTTTTTCTAAGCTTTGATAAGTGTTTTGGTGGTCCTCCCACAAAAGGATCCGTCGGATGCAACGTTCTTTTCTTCCAGTTCTCCAGAAAGGGAAGGGATTTTCTTTCACTGGCTTTTTAAAACATCTCTCCCCGGCCAGTAAGATCTGTGAATGAGAGTCCGCATTCAGTTACGCTGCCCTCTGTCTCCTTGAACCTGCCTGCCTTTGCCTCGGAGGCTTTGAGGCTTGATCGTTTTGCCTCAAGAGACCTGTAAAATTGTAAATCGTGGCTAAGCAACAAACTCAGAAAAATACGTATGCATACGGCACCGGAAGGAAGTGGATTAAAATGTTAACAGGACTGTTTGGGATCCTTTTTCATCTATGTTTGTTCTTTCCAAGTTTATTAAGCATAGGGAAAAATCAATTTTACTTTTCCAAGTTAGTATGATGCAAATACAAAGCACAGTCAAATAAGATGTGAACTGGAGAATGTAAGGAGTCCAAGGGGATAAAAAACCATATGACCCTGTTGCTTAGATACCCATCTTCTAGTATCTTCTATGTGGTGACATAGCATTACAAACCCTAATGTATAGTTCTAATCACACTATTCAGTGAGCAATATTTATATATTAAATGTCATAAATTACGTTTTAAGAACCAACCTGTAGACCATGGAAACTATCATAACTGATAGAAATTAGAAGGGAGAAAACAATATGCATTCCCCATTCAACATTCTGGCAAGTTAATAGATTCTAAGAGTGCTGAGTAGAGAAAAAAATGGTACGGATCACACCTGGAAACAATAATATAACTAAGAAAAGTTGGGGTGTTTGGAGAATCTGCAGTATAGGGAGGTCATTTTACTAAATTGTTCATTAGAATTTAAAAGAAATCAAGAAAGAGGCAAAGTATGTTCAAGTTGTGTTGTTTTGATGAGAACCAGTAGAAGAACTAAACAATCAGAAACGAATACAAAAATAGCTACCCCTGGGCGTGTGGGCTGGCCAGAGATCATCGCGCCCTTTTATTCAGTTGCAATTCATTGTACCATCAGTGCAGATGGGCTGCAGGGCTCGAACTCACGAGTCGTGAGATCCTGACCCGAGCCGAAATCAAGAGTCGGACGCTTACCTGCCTGAGCCACCCGGGCGTCTCTACAAACCAGCTTTTGGATCTATGATGTAGCAGGTCTGGGCATCAAAGCTGTCAGACACATTGTTCGGCAGTGAGTTTTGGCAGTAAAATATTTTTAAGAACATCCGGGCTGTAAGTTGTGGAGCCAAGAAGGAATGTGTCAACCCAGTCTGACAATTAAGAAAATTGTCCCCAGAACTTGCAGCACGTGTAGAGGCTACAGACCTCAGTATAGGCACCGGGAGGGGGGAAGAGCAGGGTACAGGCTATTTCCCCTGCTTTGAAGCCTTGCTTTTCTCGGGGGTCCGGCGGGGGGGGGGGGGGACTGTATTTGTTGTGTATGGAGCTGGGGAGTCCGCCTGGGTGCCTTGATCACAGCGTCTGTGTCTGTGTCTCCAGCCTGCAGGGATCACAGTGTTCCATCACCTGTGAAGACGGGCAGTACTTCAATGGCCAGGACTGTCAGCCGTGTCACCGCTTCTGTGCCACCTGTGCAGGTACTTGTGGGGGGGGGGGGGGGGGGGGGGGGGGGGGGGGGGGGGGGGGGGG